CTCAAAAAGTTTCAAATTCTGGAGAGGAAAATAGAAGTGTTCATTAGTGACCACCTAAAAGACCAATGGTAAATATAATAGGTGTGAAATGCCTCATGATCTGTTCTTTATCAGAAGAATGGTTTTTCTCCTGACTCTAACTGCCACTGGGCTGAGTCCAGAGACCAGATTTGGGAAGGAAGAAGTGAAAAATAGGCTGCTTCTTTCTTTCTCAGACTGCCTGGATTTTTAGTGGAAGAGAACAATTGTGGTAAAGTGATGAGGTTCCTCTACTTAATTGCTGCTTTGTCTGTTTAGTCCCCAATCTTAGCAACAGGCAAGTTTTAAATGTAACCAACTAGCACTGGGAACCTGAGCTCGTAGCTCAAGTGTCCTGTTTCCCTTGAACCAGCACAGAGAGTCAAGGTTCATTGAAGAACTTTGGCTTTTACATTAGTGCCACGCTCACCAAGGTGTTAGAAAGATTACACAGACAAGGAATGAGAATCTTTGGGGGAGGCAAGTAGATAAGATACAGATACAGTTCCATGTCCCCAGTCTCAACCTGTGTGTAGTGAGCAAGCAGCCTAGAAATAATAGCTTACTTCACAAAGTCAGTAGGAAGTGCTGACTACATCAGCAAAAACTTAGAGCTCTAGGATGAGGGAAAAAAAAAAAAGCTTCTTGTGAATGTGAGGACTTCAAGATCAGAGCCAAGTAGAGAAGAACCACAGGTCTTAGCAGTAGGTGTCAGTATGTCTTCCAAAATACAAACAAGACCTGTCCAGAGTCAGTGGCTGCTTGTCTGGCCCCTCATAGCAGAAAATAGCACAGATACAAAGGACATTCACCAATCTGAGATCCTTTTTAACCACAACAAAGGCACAGTAAGACCCCTGATATACACAGTTGCCATTTTGGGGAAGAGAAGGCGGGACACAATCTGAAAGAGACTCATGTACATAAAAGGAACTATTTAAAACAACACTGGTGGGGAGTTGAACTATGAATAGATGAACTATGTTAACTGGAAACGACTGATACAGTTAACCAAAATATGTATCTTTAGAAGTTGCTTGAGGTTCAGAATAAATAGCAGATCTGTTATGGGATAAATAGAAGCTACATTTTTCATATTAACCAAATATGAAATAAACTGAGAATGAAAATACAGTAAGGATAAAAGATGGAGAATAACATAGAGAAACTAACCTTATACTAAATGTATTTTAGAAATGAACAACAATGAAAATGAAAGGCAGGAAATTTTGAAAAATAAGAATAAAAGCTAAAGAGAAACGTGGATCTTAAAAGTGTTTCAGCCAACCACACACATCCACAAAATTTATGTCTTTAAATATTCCTGTGAAATTCAGCATGTCAGTAATATAGGAATGATTATAAGAGAATTTATAAAGAAAAAGCAGATTATCAATAATGTGAACAAAGGCAGACGGGTCTCAGAATCCTTATCAGCAAGAATGTATCTTGGATGACACTGGAAAAAGGCATTCCAAATTTTTAGAGAAAAAGTTTTTTTCTACCTAGAATTGAAAACACTTACAAACTATCAGTAATATCCAAGCCAGAACAATGGCATTGCAAAATTCTAAAAATCAGAAATTTATTTCTGGCACATTGTGAAGAAAATATTTTGAAATTCAATCACTGATAATTTTAAACCTGGAGATCATTGGAATAAAATTCCAGGATAAGAACTGAAGCAGGAAAACGGAGTTCTCTGGGAGCGATGTCATGGGTATTTTTAAAATGTAATAATATGTATCAGAATAATTATATAATTCAAAAGTCGAAAAAAAAATAAGAAAACAGATTAAAAGGAATTTAGTGACTTAATTTTAATAAGTGTATTAGGTATTAATATATTGATACATAATGTTCTATAGCTAATTTTTAATAAATAATATAATTGAAATTGATATGATATTAATGAGGATAATGCACAAAAATAAAGGTTAAAATGTAAAGCAAATTGTTGCATTATTTGGCGGAATGAATGGCATCTATGTTAGTCCAGGTAGTCAGCAAAGTGGTTGCCATGACACAATTAAACCTGTATTTTATAGGACAAATGATTGTAAGGGGAAATGAGGAGGAAGCTAGGATGACTGGAAGAGCATTCAGAGGGCAATGCAAGTCTGATTCTGAATGAAGAAGAGGATAGTTAGAGTGGTGGGAGCATTCTTGACTGCTGAGCAGTCGAAGGAAGATACAGCAAGTGCTCTCAGAAGACCTTGGGCCAAAGCAGTGATCAGGTGTCCCATTTGTTCCAGAAATGAGGCTGCCTTAGTGAACATCCCATGCTCAGTCATCGCCCAGGAGCAGCCCCTGCAAGCCTGGCATAGTCGCTGGAATCCTTGGTTAATAATATGTTCCTTACAGTTGAAAGTTTACTAGGGGCATTCTCATGGTTACCACAGCATGGAAGAAAAATAATTTGATTCCAAGAATATTCAGTGTTGACCTCGTGATGATGACATGGTAGTCAAAGAAGAACATGTAATCCAAGCATGCCTCTTGGCTTTGCAGTAGAAAATCTTATGTATTCAGAATCAGGCTAATCCTCTTCAATTTCTTTAAAATATAAAACCAATCTCCGCACAGATTTAAAAAGTTAGTATGTTGCAGAAGAGCTGTTTTCCTACAAATGCAAAAATAATACTACAAATGTCAGAAATAGATTGACACAAGAGGAGCAAAGAAGTAAATGAAGGAATAGGGTAATTACAGTCTCGTCTAACAAATGAGATGTCAGGAGATCATTTCTATGGTAGACATAGAAAGAAATGTGGCTTAAATGTTTTATTTACTTTAATAATTTAACAAACAGAAAATTCACACTGCATGATAAAAGTGTTTTAATAAGAAAGAGAAGGTATGGTGTGAGCGATATAAATGAGTGAAATCTTAATCGACTAGAGAGATAAGTAGTGATTTAAGAATACTTCTTAGTGTTATGGATGTATTTACCAGAACTAAAAACAAAAAATATATTTTTAATTTGTTACCTCTGGCAAGTAATCCTGGAGGTTAGGAAGGTTCAGTTTGGATAGTTTTGCTCTTGATTATATAACTTTCTGTTTCTACATATATGAACATGATTTTTTAAAGTTAGGGAAAAAAATCAAATACCTTTGCCATCCAGACATAACCATATTTTATACTTAGTGTTAAATGATTGTATGTTAAAATTATGTAATTGGCCTTTTAAAGTAGATACTGTTTTGCAAACTGTTTTTGCAAACTGAATTATTAAACATAAACTCTAATATAATATCTTCATTTCCATTAACATTTACAAATAAATGCTGTAATAAAATTCCCTTACATATCATTTTTAATAAATTGTAATTCTCTTTGTAATGAATTCTAAGATATTTTATTATAATAAAATCATAGACATTTTAAGTTTAAGATAAAGAGACTTTTATCCTCCAAATGTGTGTATTATGTATTTCCTCCTTTCTCAACAATGATATGTCAGAGTACAAGATTCCCACTTGTTACTAGATTTTTTAAATCTTTTCCAATGGGATGTCTTAGTTATTTTAATTGCATTCCCTTTTCTTTGATAATTAGTAAAGTTCTATATCTTTCATAGGTTTATTGACTGTATTTTATTTTTTGAGTATTGTGGGATACACACAAACACACACACACAATGTGTATGTACATACATATGTATAGTGGGATATATGTAACCTATTTTTCTAATACAATGCCCCTTTCAATGGGTTTTAGCATGTAGACAATTATATGTGTCCAAATCTATCAAGCTTTCCATTTGTATTTCCTTTATTCCTTGTGTCCCTTGAAAGACAGTCTCTACTCAGTATATCTGCCAGCTGAGTTGTCTCAGCTGTATCTTATAGGTGTGTTTTGTCATTAAAAGCAAGTCATCATCTTGTATGTTGCTCAGATGAACAGAGTATTGCTGTGTATCACATATCATATGTACGGGTCTGCCAGAAAACTCTCTCTCCCATAACAACACCAAACATAGCTCCTTGGGACTTGCTGTGTGCTTCCTGGGAAATGAGCCTAGAACTATCAATCTGAAAGTATTATTGTTCTAAACACATTAATCAAAATTTCGTAAGTAGTTTTTATAAATGTTAGCCATATATTTTTCTTTCTTTTCTTTCTTTTTTTTTTTGAGACAGAGTCTTGCTCTGTCGCCCAGGCTGGAGTGTAATGGCATCATCTCGGCTCATCTCACCTGTAATCCTAGCTACTCAAGATGCTGAGGCAGAAGAATCACTTGAACCTCTGCCTCCCGGGTTCAAGTGATTCTTCTGCCTCAGTATCCTGAGTAGCTAGGATTACAGGTGCCTGCCACCATGCCTGGCTAGTTTTTTTTTTTTTTTTTCTATTTTTAATTGAGAAGGGGTTTCACCAGGTTTGCTGGGCTGGTCTCGAAGTCCTGACATCCTTGGCCTCCCAAAGTGCTAGGATTACAGGTATGAGCCACCATGCCTACCAATATATCTTTTTCTATTTCCTTTTATAAAGGAGGAGGGTATTTTCCTCCTACCTTCAAAAATCACATGTTCTATGTTGTGAATGTTGTCCAAAATGGTAATAAATTCTATTTTCTTTGGCATTCAAGTTTACTTGAGTTCATTATGAATCTTTTTGCTAACGTGGATTCTGAATTTTTTAAAATGCAGGAATAATGTGATTTAAAATAAGATATTACAAGGAAAAAATTTGGGGAAAAAAGTCACAAAGTATTAACTGAGAGAAGATACAAAATGATTTGTATGAAAACTTTCTATACATTTTGGAAGATAGCTGCCCTGAACTTTTTTTAGCAAGAAGTTAAAAACAATTATATTTAATCTTTTTGATGAAAATGGTAATTTCATTGCTTACATCTGACAAATTCAAGGTCTATTTAAGCATAATGGACTAGCCGTCCCTTTTTATCTGGAAGAGAACAAAAATTGTGATACAGTCTCCGATTCAGAGGAAATATAAATTCTCCTTCCATTCACTTGCCTTTTATTTATTTTGCTGGAAGATCACCTTCTCAGCAGTGCTGTGTACCTCTAAAGAACGAAAATTTATAAGGTCATTTATCTTAATTATTAACAATATATATCAAGCACCAATATTTATATGCCATGGAGACAGATTTTTCAGAAGAAAAAACATTGAAGATCATCACATCATCTCTGATGTGTAGAGACAATACATGTTGTTAGAAATACTCCTACCCTATTATATAGGTAATGCTAAGAGAAATAGGAATTTTATTTTTTTCTAGGGAAATAGTTTTCCAACAAGTGAGAATGTCTAAAGTTGTTTATTGTTTACATGGTGAATTTCTGGAGCATAAGCTTTTAAAGTGTGGGGACATTAGAGTAACACTTACATAGCTAGGCTGAATGCTTATGTATACTATAAACAGTGCAGTGAAGGCTCTGAGGGTTAATGTAGGACAGTGCAGCAGCATCATTTCGGGAAAAGTAGAAATGTTGTTCTTAAAGAAGTTTATTTGGCCTGGCTTAAGACAAGAGGATGATGTAGACTAATGAGAATGACCAATCTTGTGATCTTTTAATACCACTCTATCTGTATCCTGGAGGAAGTTACAAAACATCTCTGAACGTTCTGAACGTTACATTCCTGATCTTTAAAAAAGAAATGATATTACTTGATATTAATAATATGTATCTTGTAGTTTGTTGTTAACCTCAGAAGCAATACATCCAGTCATTTGTAATTTACAAAAGCCACATATAAAAATAGCATTAGTTTCTAATGTGATCGTTATCATTATTAGTATTAACTTTGGATATGTATACAGTCTTGTATATTCCATAAATTATGTCATAAACTTCTGCCACTTTCCACATGGAAAATTTAAAAGTGTTTCTTCATTTTCAAAAGGTCATTTTTAGTTGTGTCTTTTTTCTATTTCATTATTTTAAAGAGAAAAGCAATGCTACACTGATTCATTTTAATTCTCTGTGAAACATTATCTGAAATTGCCTTTTCAGGGAAGGTTCAGTCTGTACTTCTTATCTGGTATTACATTTAAGCAAGGAATACACTTATCCTAAAATCATCATGTTTCTAGAAATTTGATCCTAAGTAATCTTCTGAAAAAAAAAAAAGTCCTAAGTAAAAACATACTATTTTAAAAATCAAGAGATATTCCAATATTCAGAGTGGCTAGAATACCAAGTGAAATTCATCCCCTCTGGCCATTTGTTTTTAAGTACATCATTCTTTCTATAAATTCTTTTTATATGAGAGAGAGAGGAGAGAGTGAGAGAGAGAGAGAGAGAGACAGACAGAGAGAGAGAGAGAGACAGAGAGAGGGAGAGAGAGAGACCCTTGAGAAAGTTCTGTTTCTTTCATGTTTTATCTTTGATCCCACCAGCTCCCTTTCTGGAAGTGTGCCAGATCTCTTTGATGAGGATGCTACAAAATAGTGCGTGGGTACTGCTATTGATGCCTTCTGCTGCTCTGGATGAACTTGGCTGAGCTATGCCAGCCTCAGGGGCAACAGGTGCATTTATCTCAAGCCTATGATCATAGACTTCTTATAACCTACAGTTACCAGAGATACTCAATTTGCCTGGCCTCATTTTGTTTTGCTCACACAAGGAAGAAGGAGTATTATGAAGAATCAAAGCCAAGAAAATGGCCAGTGTTCTCCATAGCAGTTAAAAACTGACACTCATTCGTTCACCTACATTGGTTCCATCCTTCCTGTCCATTGTTCTGAAGAATAAAAACCATCTTTTTGGACCTAATATAAAAAAAAATACTCTTTACTTTTACTAAGAGTAAACAATTAATGAGTGCCTATGTATCTGACACTCTTAAGTATTTTATAGCCAGTCATGGTAGCTCACTTATGTAGTCCCAACACTTGGAAGGCTGAGGAGAGTGAATTGCATGAGCCCAAGGGTTCAAAACCAGCCTGGGCAAAATGGTGAAACCCTGACTCTAAATGGGAAAAACAAACAAACAAACAAACAAACAAATAAATATAAGTAGCTGAGCATGGTGACATGTCCCTGTGGTCCCAGCTACTCCAGAGGCTGCGATGAAACTATCGTTTGAGACCAACAGGTCAAGTCACTGTTGGAATGAGCCCTGTTCAAATCACTTCACTCTGTCCTGGGTGACACAGTGAGACTCTGACTCAATATAACAAGTAAAAATAAAAAAAATTTAAAAGCATTTTCCATGTAAACTTTCTATAATTCTCACAACCTTGCAATGGAAGTATCACTGTTGTTTCCCTATTACAGATGAGAAAATTAAGCAGCTTGTTTAATGTTAAATAACTATTAAAGTGATTTTTACATAATAGAGATATAAAAACAAAGGATTTGTTATATACTTGTAGGAAATATAACATCATACTGATGTTATAATAAATTATGAACATTTTTGATATGATTTGGCTGTTTCCCCACGAAAATCGCAAATTGTAACTCCAATAATTCCCATCTGTCATGGGAGGGACCCAGTGAAAGATAATTGAATCATGAGGGTGAGACTTTCCCATGCTGTTCTCATGATAGTGAATAAGTCTAATGAGATCTGATGGTTTTATAAAGAGGTTTCTCCTGTACATGTTCTTTCTCTTGCCTGCTGCCATGTAAAATGTGCCTTTTGCTTTCTGCCATGATTGTGAGGCCTTCCTACCCATGTGGAACTGTGAGTACATTAAACCTCTTTTCCTTTATACTCTTGTCTCAGGTATGTCTTTATTAGCAGTGTGAGAACAGACTAATACAGTAAATTGGTACCAGGAGTCGGGGCCTGCTATAATGTTACCTAAAAATGTGGAAGCGACTTTGGAAATGGGTAACAGGCAGAGGTTGGAACTGTTTGGAAGGCTCCGAAGAAGATAGGCAAGGGTAGGAAAGTTTGGAACTTCCTAGAGACTTGTTGAATGGCTTTGACAAAAACGCTGATAATAATATGGACAACAAAGTCCAGGCAGAGGTGGTTTCAGATGGAGATGAGGAACTTGTTGGGAATTGGAGTAAAGCTCACCCTTGCTAAGTGAAGAGACTGGCAGCATTTTGTGGAACTTTGAACTTGAGAGAGATGATTTAGGGTATCTGGGGGAAGAATTCTAAGTCGCAAAGCATTCAAAAGGAAGCAGACCATAAAAGTTTGGAAAATTTGCAGCCTGATGATGGAATAGAAAATAAAAGTTCACTTTCTGGGGAGAAATTCATGCTGACTGCAGAAATTTATATAAGTAACAAGCAGCTGAATGTTAATCACCAAGATAATAGGGAAAATGTCTGCAAGGCATATCGGAGAGTTTTCTCAGCAGCCCCTTCCATCACTGGACTAGAGCTTAGGAGGGAAAAATTGTTTAGTGGGGCTGAATTCAGGGACCCCCCTGCTGTCTGCAGCATCCCAGCTGCTCTAGCCTGGGCTAAAAGGGACCAAAGTACACCTTGGGCCATTGCTTCAGAGCCCCAAACCTTGGCAACTTCTACATGTTGTTGAGCCTGCCAGTGTGCAAAAGTCAAGAATTGAGGTTTAGGTACTGCAGAGGTGTGCTGCAGGGACAGAACCTTCATGAAGAAGCTCTGCTGGGGCAGTATGGAAGGGAAATGTGGAGTCAGAGCCCCACACAGAGTCCCTACTGGGGCACTACATAGTGGAGCAATGAGAAGAGTGCCACGGGCCTCCAGACCATAGAATGGTAGATCCACTGACAGCTTGCACTGTGCACCTGGAAAAGCCGAAGACACTCAATGCCAACTTGTGAAAGCAGAGAGGAGAGCAGCTGTACACTGCAAAGCCACAGGGGTGGAGCTGCCCAAGGCTGTGAGAACCCACCTCTTGAAACAGCGTGACCTGGACTTGAAACATGGAATAAAAGGAGATTATTTGGAGCTTTAATATGTAACTGCCCTACCAGATTTCAGACTAGCCTAGGGCCTTTAGCCCTTCATTTTGGCCAATTTCTCCCATTTGGAATGGACGTTTTTATCCAATGCCTGTTCCCCCATTGTATCTAGGAGTAACTAACTTGCTTCTGATTTTATAGGCTTGTAGCCGAAAAGGACTTGCTTTGTCTAAGATGAGACTTTGGACTGTGGACTTCTGAGTTAATGCTGAAATGAGTTAAGACTTTTAGGGACTATTGGGAAGGCATGATTGGTTTTGAAATGTGAAGACATGAGATTTGGGAGGGGCCAGGGAAAAATATGGTTTGACTGTGTCCCAACCTGAATCTTAAATTGTAGCTCCCATAATCCCCACATGTCGTAGGAGGGTCCTGGTGGGAAATAGTTGAATCATGAATGTGGGTCTTTCCCATGCTGTTCTTGTTCTTTTATAAAACCATCTGAACTCAGGAGATGGTTTTATAAAAGGGAGTTCCCTGCACACACTCTCTCTCTTTCCTGCTGCCATGTAAGCTATGCCTTTCATCTTCTACCACGATTGTGAGGCCTGCCCATCATGTGGAACTGTGAGTCCATTAAACCTCTTTTTCTTTATAAATTACCCAGGCTTAGGTATGTCTTTATTAGCAGTGTGAGGACAGAATAATGTAATTTTAATCCCCAAAATGACTACTTAAACCTAGCATATCTAAGTGCATGTTCATTTTTTATGACAAAGAACAATGTGCCTAATAAACCCAAAATTGTTTAATTCTCCCCTGCCAGGATGGTGCTTTTCAAATTTTGATGAGCATATTAATAAATTGGAACCTTGTTGAATACAGATTCCTTTCAGCTGTTCTGCAGTAGTTCCTGAGATTATGCATTTCTGATGATCTCACAAATGATGATGCTCTGCAGGCAACTTTTGTGTAGCAAGCCTTAGTATATCATTGGGTTCAACTTTAATATAGTAGTTGGTTCTATATTTCAATGAAATCCTTGTGCTGCAATATGGTAATAGTTTAGTTATTGCATAAGCCAATTAGCACTGAATAGGGCTGCATCATTAAAAAAATTATAAATATAGCCCCAGCTGGCTATCTCACATATTCATAAGATGTACTTTTAAATTAAATTATGAGACCAAAAAATGGAGCAAAGCAACCACTGTTGTCACTGTGAATGCCAGTGAGATGCCCAAAGGAAACATGAAAGCATATATCATAAAAAAAGAAAGTTGGGATTATACATTTTATGAGTGCAAAAACATGCATACAAAAAATTACATTTTTACCCCGCAAAATTATATTCACTTAAATAAATACCATCACTGCCTATCTAAGTTTTAAATGATAACTTGACTGCCTATATATGATATAGAAAAATATTTTTCATGTATGCTTCTCAAATCCTATCCTAGTTCTGTTACATAAGTTCCATTATAGTAATACTAGCACAAAAAAATGTTTTTGCATTCCCAACATTTGCCTGAAATTGCCCATTCCCAAATTAGCCTTTACAGCAATTTCATGGACATTTTAGTTCAAATGTTGCATTTCCTTCCAGTCATCCAGATTCCCCATGTCGAATTCCCACCAGCGGTACTGGTACTTATACAGTCACAAGAATAGAAGCAAGGCAACAGCATGAAGGGTATCAGTTGTGTCATAGTATTCATAATTAGCCACTTTATGGGAAAAAAATCACTGCCTTACAAAGATACCTGAAATTAGTTTCACACAATAACCCTTTTCTGTACCTGTATTGGCAGCATCTTGGGCTCAGCTGGAGAGCGGAGGACACTCTGTATTGCAGCACAGTCAGAAACCAGTCACACCTGCAGCCTCATAAGTGATGAGCATTGAAATAGAAATTCCCGGTGTCACAATTAACTTTGACAAACTATGATCATTGAACACTCAGTTTAAGTGCATGTATAAATACACAGTAAACTTCATGGAACTATTATCAAAGCTACAAATTGAGCTACTGAAATTTGAGAACAAAGACTAAATTAGGTAAGACTAAATTAGCCCAGGTACACTTAAAAATGTACTTGGGCTTTAAAAGAAAATACATAGTTGGTGCATTTTATTTTTAGTTTCTTTTTCTCTTCAGTTAAGAATACTTGGCACTGATGAAAGAGTTGTGAATGCTTTACTCTATTTTACACTATAATGTTTAGGAGAGATTCACAACCCGTATCATATATCTTCTAGATGGGTCTTTAAAACACCGACTGGTGAGCCTCACCCTGTTGTATTCAGTCAGCCTACAGTGGGCCTTAGAATTAGCAGTTCTGAAAGTCTTTCTTGTCCTGATGATGCCACTGGACCCTAGATTACACCTGAAGAATTACCTTCTTAAAGTATACTGTCAAATTGTGTTCTCTAGATTGGTTTGCCTAATTTGTTTTTAGTTTGCAAACTCTTGTGAGTTTTGTTGTTGTTGTAGTTTTAATATTATTTATGTTTTCTATTGCTTCAGTTGTAAATCTTTCATGTAAAAATTTGCAACCATGTTATTCCAGTTAATATTTGTGTGTTCTATTATTCTTCTAAAGTAATCTATATTGTTAAAAATTCAGAAGAAAGTTAAAATGTATCCTCTTTTTCTTTGTACCTGACATACAAGCTTTAGAAATGTACTGATAATTTGCTCATTTTATAAATAATTGTTCAAAGAGATGATATAATATAAAGCCATAGAAAACATAAGAAAATGAGGAAAGGACTTCCATGTTAACTGTGAATAATATCTGCAGAGGGCAGTATGGATAGCCTGTATCCACAGTGTCCTCCCTACCAATAGGAACATAATTATCAATCAGGGTTTGGTGTGGAGTCAACCACTTTGGCCATGAGTACATCTGACATCACAAGCTCTCTAGACTATACCATCAGTCTATAAACTATACCTATTATATGACTCCCCTGTAAGGTACCTCTCTGTGAAAAGTACAGCTCTAATACCATCAGGTTTCAGTACATGAAAAAGAAACTTGACAAGATTGATAATAGGATGAATAAAAAAATCAGTTCTAGTTGTACAAGAGAACTGGCTGTACTATGTGTTAGTGGTTAGCCTGGAATAACTTCTTCAAATTATTGGTAAAGTCATTTCAGGAGAAGATAAAATTTTAGGACTCAATGTTAGTCCTGAAAAACTGAGACTTGTGGCTGGAGTTATGGGTCCCAGGGATTTGGGGACAGCTCAGTATTTATGTATTCCAGTGACTAATTCAAAGCCTAAAAGATAAAATAAGTTGTTTCTGATTGAACCTCAAGAAATGGACATATTTACATATTCTAGAAATGAGAAATAAAGCATTGTAGGTGCACATTGTATGAATTGTATCAAAAACCTTTAAAGTCTGGACCCATAACTTAGCTTCTTTGAAATTTTGAGCAGGTTCTACTTAATTTACAACTAAATGTCAGCAATACTGAAGAATGAAAATAGTCATTACTGTGAGCACATACTATGAGAACTGATTTGGAATACAAATCACAACATTTTCTTCTGGTTTTATCTCCCTTCTTAATCCCCAAATTGCCTCATCATTTTACAGTTTAATATTGTGAAATGGATATGCAGAACCAGATACTGATATAAACCAGTATGATAATGTTTAATTCACTTTGGTTATACCCACATTTTGGGGAACCTCATTAAACAAAGTAGACCCCCCCAAAAATGACAAAGGGCAAGTCTTGAGGCTATTTTTGGCTACACAAAGTTAAATGTATGATTGAAATATGTGGAGAAAGTCTAGAAGAAAATTTATCTTTGTGTCAACACAGTAGCTTGAAATCTTTTCTTTAAAAGAGACTGGAGTTGTTTTTTGGATCTACAAGATGAAGTCCTGGAGATATTTTGCACAACATTGTGGATGTACTTAAGACTACTGAACTATACACTTGAAAAGGGTAAAGATGGGAAATTTCAGGTAATGTAATTTATCACCACAATAAAAAAATCACTGGGATCTAAAAATTCACATGCTAACTTTTTGATAGAATCCTGCCCTTAAAACCCTATGAATACTATTATATAATTTTTTCATTCAATAGTATATCATACAAGTTATATATTCATTAATACAGCAAAAATTATTGTTTTAATCACCTGCTTTGTAAAAGACATGGCTATTTGTGTGAATGTTATAGACATGAACAAAACTGTTCCTACCTTCACTGGGCTTACAAAATAAATGGAGGTTTTTTTGTTTTGTTTGAATTTTTTTTTTTTTTTTTGACAGTCTCACTCTGTTGCCCAGGCTGGAGTCCACTATGAATTCAGTTCACTGCAACCTCCACCTCCCAGGTTCAAATGAATCTCCTGCCTCAGCCTTCCAAGTAGCTGGGATTATAGGTGCCTGCCATGCCTGACTAAATATTTGTAGTTTTAATAGAGACGAAGTTTTGCCATGTTGATCAGGCTGGTCTCGAACTCCTGACCTCAGGTGATCCACCTGCCTCGGCCTCTCAGAGTTCTGGGATTACAGGTGCCCAGCCAGAGAGTTTTTTCCACATGTCATTTTGATACGTGTCATCTTTTTAGATCCGGTCCAATGTTCCATTGGATACACTTAACTCTGTTTTATTTATTCTCTTACTGTTGAATACTCTGAAGAATTCCACTTTTTGGCTATTAAAAATAATACTGAAATACTTTAAAAAATATATATATTTGAGCACATGGGAGAATCTATTTTTTTGAAATGCATGTAGACATGCAATTGGATGCAAAGGATTTTTGCATTTCAAATTGTCAAAGTTTTTGCAACACTGTTTCAAAAGTACTTATACCAATTTAATCTCTCTTTATCTTACATATAATTCCTTATTTCAACCTTACCATCCAACAGCTACAAACTCATAATAATTGTACATACATAAATATCATAAATTACCTCTCTTTTTATTTTTTATTAATTCAATTGATATCCATATATGAGGTAGTATATTTTAGTAGTAAATGGTAATATTCTATAGCCTTGTTAATCACAGTGTAGTTATTGAACAGGCAACAACAACATCACCGGGGAGCTTGTTAGAAACACAGAATCCTGAGCCCCAACCCAGATACACTAAATCATAATCTGCATTTTAACAAGATCCCTGGTTGATTCAAATGCAAATTAAATTTTGAGAAGTGCTGATTTAAGATACACAGCCCTAGGTTTTGATCTTGTTATACTGCACAAATACTTTACATCTATGTGAACATGGCCAAGTGAATCTACCTAAGTTTTTACATCTACATAATGTGAGCAGTATTATTTATCTCATTTGGTCATTGGGTGATTTCAATGAAATAATATTTATAAAGTAAGTACCAGAGAGTTTGGTATATAATAATTATCCAGTAAATATTGGCTTCTCTTAGTTACAGTGTATGCTATATTTATCATATTATTATTATCTGATTAGTATTTATTTTTTGCTGACTGCCTGTTCTTGATATTAACTACTAAGAATTTTTAAAATTGAATTTAGTAAGGTTTCCTATATTTGTGATTTACTTTTTTTGTGTACTAGTATAAATAGAACTTTCCTTTTTTAATATATATTTCATTGGAAGAACATGTAATTATACTCAACATTTATGACATTTATATAGTTTTAATTATTTAATCCTAATAAATTATTTTTCCAATATACTTGCTATGAAATTTATGTATTATCACTGCTTTCAAAAGTATTAAAAATACCTAAAATTTTAGCCTGTTCAGCAATGAGTGCTAGTCTTTTTTACCATGTCTCTTTATGCTGTGGGCCCTTTTTAAAGATTCAGAAGGTCAGGCCTTTAACCCTTCCCTAGAAGGACTGCTGCATACTTTAATAAATCTGCCTGCTATTTTTCCCCACTTTATGTGGAGGTTACATTTTTATTGCTTTAGTCTTATTTCCTTACTTTTAGCTCAACTAAGTTTTTGTTTTATCAACTTATTGAGAGTAAAGAATTGGATACAGATTTATTTTCTTCCTCTACAAAACACTTTCATCACCTCTGGGGACATGTGCACAATATTACTGACCTCCCACAGTTAAGCATTCTGTTTACTCATTGCACGAAATATTTTATCTCTGATCAGCATGGAGGCCTACTGGGTACTTTTTTCATAAATGATAGGCATCTTCACTTTTTAGCTTCAGAAAAGTTTTCTTTAAATATCCATAACCATTTCAGTGTTGCTTCCTTCTTAAAAATGAATGCGTTTGTGTTAATGATTTAGAATTCCCGATGGAGAATAAAGAGATGGTAAATTTTATTCCATGACCAAGACAGGGGAAAAAAGGGGGAAAACTACCAGTAGATTCTTTCTGATTAAAAGCTTCTTTATATATACTTTGTAACTACTCATAATTAAAGATGTAGACATATATATATATGTATATATATATGATTCATATTGCTATTCTTATATTAGAGGAGGATATCCGTGATTTCCAACTTTATTTTCAAATTTTCTTCCCCCACTTTTTATTTGAAACACAGACAATCTATAAAGTTATACTCCAGATGATGACAAGTTTCTCATAGGAAAGGAAGGACACAGAAGTAGATTTTGCCTTTGGAAGAGTATGGGAGGAAAAGGTGGTAGCCATTGGGTGGGTAAGAAGAAAACTAGAATAAGCATATAAATAACAGAAACTTGATGGTCAGGGACTTGTGTGATGGTTTAGAATTCTAGGTAGTCACAAAGATGAAGAGTGCTTTCAGCCTCTTGTCAGCTCCTCCATAGGCTTCCATCAGATGCTCATAACAAAATTTTGGTTCATTTTGGGAGACTGAAGAGAACTCTCAAAGGGGCATGTGCATAAATGATGGTTAGTTTTTGCTTCAGCATGGGTGCCATCTACTAAGGCCTTCTTCCATACAAAGGGAAAAGCATCTGCCACCAGGTTAAAAGTAGAAATTCTTTCACTGTCAATCATCACCATCCCCCCCACCCCGCCGCCCAATCCGTTCCTGGTAAATTTTGCCAGTGTGCTAGCGGTAAAAGCAAAAGTTATCTGTATCGGGAGATGGGTAAGAAATTGCCACAGCAGAAGTCCCAGACAAAAGCCAGGGTCAGCTAAGTGAAGGGAAGAAAACCTATGCATGGTCTTTCATCATCACTGGTGCTACACAAAACTCTTTGCTTCTGGGCCAGGGGCAGTGACCCACGGCCACAAGAAAGGAGGCAGGAAACAGACTTGAACATAGGTTGCTGGTAACACAAGGCAGAATTCACCTTCCATAGTGGATGTGTAAGGATGCTGAGAAAAACTCATCCCTGAAGATCACATGGAAATGCCCTTCTATAAGTGACAAGCTCCAGCATTTCATACATGGACAGAAGAAATGCAAATCGGCTTGGGGAGACCACCATCTTCGATGCAGGAATTCAGTCTTGCTGAAATTAGAGCTTAGCACTGAGAAAAAAATGGTCTTGCACTTCAAATGTCACTCTGTTCTGAAGTAGCAGCTGTCTACCACTGGAGAAATTTGAGGTCTGTGGTGCATTTAAGGTAACTCAAGCAATAATAAACTGAAACCTAGCTCAACTACAAAATAGAAGGACTCAGCTCCCCATATCAACAGAAAGAAACTATACATTTTCTTGGCATATGTATTGTTTACCTCAGTTTTTGGTGTAATTTTATCAACCAATGTCCATCACCTGGTCATATATGCATATACTACCTGTTTTCAAGAAAAAAAGCAGTCAATACAACCAGAAACAGTAATAATACAGATTTTGGTATTATATACTATGAGAAGGGGATTAAAGTAATTATAATTAATATATTACGGGACTACTGGAAAGGTGGATAACATTCATTCATGAGCCGATGGGAATTATTATAAGAAAAATGGAAAACGTAAAAAGCATCACATTGAAAATAGGGTAGATACACAATGTGTACACAGGTGCACAATAAAAAAAATGAAACAAATACCAAGTTCATATACATACACTCATGCACACATTTGCTTAACTGTGTTCTAATTAAGTCGATGAAAGCCAATAATAAACAAAATATCCTGTTGGAACTCAGTGGGGAAAACATATATAAAAAGGAAGAGAAATAAAAATGATAGCAGAATTCTTATCCCAAACTGTGCAGACCAGAACACAGTGGAGTGAGATCTTTAAATTACCAAAAATAAAAATCTATCAACATAGAATTCTAGAGCCAGAGAAAATATGTTTTAAAAGTTAAGATGAAATATATAGTTTTTCAACAAAAGAATACTAGTAAATTCATTGCCAGGAGAATTGCACTGCAATCAATGTTAAATAAAAGAGCTTTTTAGAGAGAGAAATCATGGTAAAATAAAGAATGTAGAACCAGTAATGTGTGAGGAAATGTCAGATAATTGTCTGACTATTCATCTTAAAAGATTATTTGTTTGTTTGTTTGTTTGTTGGAGACTGATTCTTGCTCTGTCGCCCAGGCTGGAGTGCAGTGGTGTGACCTCGGCTCACTGCAACCTCTGTCTCCTGGGTTCAAGCAGTTCTGCCCTAGCCTCCAGAGTAGCTGGGATCACAGGATGTGTGCTGGCTGATTTTTGTATTTTTTATCAGAGACAGATTTTTACCATGTTGCCCAGGTGATCTCAAACTCCTGACCTCAGATAATCTGCCCACCTTGGCCTCCCAAAGTGTTGGGATTACTGGCATGAGCCACCATGCCCCGCTCATCTTAAAATATATTTGCCTCTAAAACAATATAGAAACCCTACACAAATAAAGAAACCAATACTCTAAACAAATATGGAGACAATGTTTTGTATGAATAATAACATTCTTAAAATTAGCTTGCACAATAGGAATAACAAAAAAATGGGAGTGATAAAAGCAGGTATTTTGATGTGTTTTTATACTTCATATTAGGTAGCATAAAAATTTTGGAAAACAGCCAGATAAGTTATAGTTATATAGTAAGTCATAGAGAAATATTTTAAATTAAAACAGTTGAAAACTATTAAACATAAAGCAATAGTGAGAATAAAATAGGATCATAAAACTGCGTACTTATTTAAAAAATAAGCAGAAAGAGAAGAAAAGTGAAAAAGAAAGATTTCACAAGAAAAATATCAGAGTGGTTGATTTAAGCACAACCACACTGGTAATCACATTAAATAAAAATAGTTAAACCAATTAAAAGGGAGACTGACAGACAAAATAACAAGTCAAGACCAAACTCAATGTCATCTGTTACAAACATACTGTCTATGGGATCTACTATCTAGGTTAAATGTAAAAGGATTAAAAGAAAGATGCATTATGAAAACAATATTTAAAAGAAGTTGTAGTGGCTAAATTAATATTAGAATAAAAGAATAATTTACACAAAGAAATATTGCTGGAGACTAAGATGTTCACTATATAAAAATAACATATTCATCTTTAAAAAATATGAATTTTTACTAGCATAATGACAGTTTCAAGAAAAGTAAAGTAGAAATTTGTAATAGTAGAAGAACTAAAATAATTAACAATCATAGTTGATAAATTCAACACCCTTTTGCAGTATCTGATAAAACAATAGACATAAAATCAGTAAGAAATAAATGAACTTGGCCTAATAAATATTTACAGAATACTGCACATAGTGAGAATACACATTTATTTGAAGTCAATAGAGAATAATTACCATGTAAAACCATATTTTATTTCAGAAAAATAAAAGTTTCAATAAATTTAAAGAAATAAAAGTCATACAGAGCATATGCTTAAGCAACAAATACTTTGTTAATGAATAACAGAAAGATATCTGGAAATAAAAATTATTCTGAAATTAAGCAATCCTTTAAAATTATGCATGGATCAAAGAAGGAATTTCAAATTCCATTTCCTGCTACAGTAAATGAAAACAGAACATATCAAACTTCGGGGGATGCAACCAAAGCTGTACTTAATAATTTTGTAGCCTTTAATGGCTCTCTCTCTCTCTCTCTCTCTCTCTCTCTATATATATATATATATATATATATACACACACACACACACACACACACACACATATATAAATGAATACATAGGGATATATAGTTGCATAGATTATTAAGATTATGTGTGTACACATCTTAATCATTAATGTATACCTCATTGATGTATACCTCATTGATGTGTACACAAGCATATCTTAATGATCTTATTATTTTGGAAAGTTAGAAAAAAAATTAGATGTAAACTAGGTAAAGGGAAGTCTTTAACAAACATAAAGACCAAAACTAGGGAATTAATGAACACATATATTGTCAACTTATCTTTTAAAAACTGCAAAGGCAATGCAATGTAGAAAATATAGTTAAATGTTTTTTCCAACAAATGATGCTGAAACGTTTTAATATCAAGTTTTTAAGAATTATGTAGAGATGGATCTTATCCCTTTTACAAAAATTAAAACTTGTCATTGACATGAGTGTAAAAATGAAGAACTATAAAAATTCTAGATGGAAACATAAGTGACAATATATATGTCTTAAGTTTGGTGGTGAATACTAGATAAAACACTAAAAGCATACTCCATGCAAGAACTAGTTGATTCATTGGACTTTATTAAAATTTAAAATATTTTCACTGACAAAAACACTGTTAAAACAGACAAGCCACAGACTGGGAGAAAATATTTGAAAAAACATATATCTGTTAAAGGGCTTGCATCCAAACTCTGCAAAGAAACCCATAAAACACAGTAATAATAAAAAAAGTGAACACAAGTTTTTCGTTTGTTTTGTTTTTTGTGTGTTTTGTTGTTGTTGCTGTTTTTAGGCAGAGTCTTGCTCTGTGGTCCAGGCTAGAGTGCAGTGGTACATTCTGGGTTCACTGCAACCTCTGCCTCCTGGGTTCAAGCAATTCTCCTGCCTCAAGCTTTTGAGTAGCTGGGATTACAGGCGCACACCACTACACCCAGCTAATTTTTGTATTTTTAGTAGAGACAGGGTTTCACTATGTTGGTCAGGCTGCTATTGAACTCCTGACCTCATGTTCCACCCACTTCAGCCTCCCAAAATGTTGGGATTACAGACGTGAGCCACTGCGCCTGGCCAACACAAGCTTTAAAAGGTCAAAAGATCTAAACAATCATCTCACAAAGGAAGACAGACAGATGGAAATAACCATATGGAAAGATGATCAAAATCATTAGTCACTGTGGGAAAAATAAAAACTATAATGAGATGCCACTATACACTTATTAATGGTTAAGAAACAGAACAAAACAAAATCTGACATTGGCAATTTCTGGCAAAGGTACAGAACAAAAGACACTCTCAGCAACTGCTGGTGGGAATACAAAATAGTGCTGCAACCTTAGAAGACAGCTTGGTCATTTATTACAAAGTAATATAGTCTTACCTACTATACTGGAGGTCCTGTGGTAAATTCAGTGGCACATGTCTACAATAATGTCACAAGTACACGGATGCATTTTTTTAAATACATAATAATACGGCATCACTTTATCCTCATGACGTTTTTTTTTGGTCAATCCTGAAGCTGAATTCTTAAGTAGTCAATTAATTTGAAAACTTATGTCTCCACAAAATCCAGCATGTGAATATTTGTAGAAGCTGCATTCATAATCACCCAAAATGGAAATTATCGATATGCACTTAAATGAATAAACAAAATGTGATACAGCCATACAATGGAATACTGTAAAGAAATGCAAAAGCATGAGCTATTGATCTATGCAAGGATCTTAAATGCATATTACTAAGTGAAAGAAGTCAATCTGAAAAAACTATGCATTGCATGATTCCCTTCATATAACATTTTGGAAAAGGTTTTCAACATGGATTTTGATAATGGTTTCAAGGGCGTATTCGTATCTACAAACACATCAAGTTTAACACATCAAATATCTACAGCTGTTTACATGTCAATTGTATCTCAATAAAATGGCTTAATTGAGAGAGAGAAGAGAAAATAGGTGTAAAGTAAATATCCTGAAATTTGAAAGAAGTATAAAATTTAAGAGGAAGATAAATTTATGTATTATTTAGTAAAATGCAATGTAACATAATGTGAATAAGTGACAAAAAGAAAGTGTAATACAGCCACAAATAAAATATTATTATGCAACAAAAATAAGTAAATAAATTATGATACATAACACCATGTGATGAATCTCTGAAGAATAGTGCTAAGTAAAAGAAGCACATTTAGTAGGTATATAACTGACTCCAATTATATGTAATTCAGTGTAGATAATACTGTACTGACAGAAGACGAATGACTGTCAGACATTTGGAGAAGAAAGAGGGAAAAGTTTTCCTCCTGTCTGCAAAAGGGCAGGAGAAAAAAATTTGGGGTAATAAAATTGTTCTATACATTTTTTATGTTTTGATTAAGCAACTCATCAAACTGAAACCTTAAAGTGTGATTTTTAATTTTTTTATATAATGCTCTAGTAAACTTCACTAATAATGAAAAGTTCAATCTATAGGCTTACTGCATCAGAGACACCTAGGGATTTAATGTTACCAAGCACTCAGATTTTTGGGCCCTGAGCAGACATATTCAATAAGAACCTCAGGATATGGAGCCTTAAAAGCCACACCTTTCAAACTTACCCTTACAAACCCCAGCTCTGATATAAGCATTTGTTCCACTATTCCATGCTTAACAACACCTGCTGAGCTTGTTAAATAAATCAATTTATCTTGCTTCACTGGAAACAGGTAAAGTCTG